GCAAATTGTTCCTGTTGTAGATAACAATGCTAGCCTTGAGGAAGGTTGAGTGACCTTCCGAGGCACAAGGCTATTTTGAAAGAGTTATGGTGGAAAGCTAGTTTGATCTCAGGTTGTTACTAGTATTCTTTCTTTTTCTACTGTTGATCCCTGAACTGTTTTCAGAGACTCCATAGTCTCCATCTAATACCAAGGTTAAGAAGGACATGGTTGCTGCAGAAGGATTTGACACGGGGGTCTATAATCTTCACTGGGGACTTCAGTAGTATTCGGCTGAGCCAGTAGTTGAATGAGAAGCATGGAGAGGTGGTTCTGTGTGAATGAGCCATTCATGGCATGACCCTAGCCAGCAGGGGCTCAGTGTGATTTTGCCTTCTCTGTCATTGGCCTAGTAATACTCATAAAAAGATGCTGAGGCAGTTGTGTGTGCAGCACGCCCAAGAGGGTCAGCTGTACAGCTGTGGATGGAGTCAGAAGGCAAAGACTGATAATGAGTTTTCTTCAGGCTGTTTGCAAATGTTGAGCCTTCAAAGATCCTGTAGAAGTGAGCTTCCAGAATGGTTCACATTTGAGCCAAATGAGACTTGAATGCCTTGTCTGACATCACAGGAGCTCATATACATGCATGTGCCATGCTTCATAGTTTTGGTCTTAGGTTTCCTTTCCTTTGGCCTTTGAATTCACTGGTAGCTTTAGGTATAAGCCTCTTCACCACCACCTGCTCCCCAATCCCAATGGATTCTGTCATTGAAAGTTGAGAGCAGCAGAGCAGAGCTATCAGTATTCCAGGCTAACATCGTGGGAGACTAGGGGATCTGGAACAGGTTTAGAAGATGTTTAGCAGCCTGAACAAGGTCATCCTCAGCTGGCACCAAGTGGAAGTGGGTTGTAGCATAAGCTGTTATGATACTCTGTTTCCTTTGAACAGAAAACCCAAACCAACCAAGAAGTCACTAGGATACTTTCTGCTTGCAGTTTTGTTCCACTTTTTTTGGGTTTTTTGTTTGTTTGTTTGTTTTGTTTTTTATAACTCAAATGCCAGAGGAAATAAGCAACAAGGGGACAGAATGAAGTACGAGTGAGCCTCAGTTGAGAACTGAGGACTCTGGCTGATTGAGGTTCCTGCTGTTTGTGATTCAGAGTACCTGTTCGTAGTGGGTGTCCCTTCAAACAGAGCTCAGTATTCGTGTCTAACGGCTTTCGGCAAACGTTACCTTTTGATTTTCTTCTTCTGGAGTATAGGAACTAGAATAGCCTGAAGCTCTCTTGAGGTGTTAACAACTTTTTGAAACTTGTTCCAGCATTAACTGTGAGTCCGTTTTTATTTAATCCAAATACTTGCCTTCAGTGGGTAGAGTGAGACCTACCGTAGTCAGTCTTGAGTTCTACTTTCCCTCTGCAGACAAGGCCAGAGAAATGTCAGCACATAAGATTTACCTGAACTACATTGGTGCATCTTGTGGTTTCCCTGTGGTCTTCTCTAGAATCCTGCCAGAGGTACTGAAAGTACACTGCTTCTCACAATGTGCTTCTCAAATTTGCCACTAGTTTGCTGAGAATCTGAAAGCTAGCTTGCATCCTTAAACGTTTCCACTCAGTATGATCAACTCTATCTTTTTTGTTTGTTTGTGGTTTTTTTTTTGGGGGGGGCGGGGGGAGGAAACAGGGTTTCTCAGTATTGTTTTGGTGCCTGTCCTGGATCTCCCTCTGTAGACCAGGCTGGCCTCGAACTCACAAGAGATTCGCCTGGCTCTGCCTCCTGAGTGCTGGGATTAAAGGGGTGTGCTACCACCACCTGGCTTAAACTCTATCTTAAAATGAAAGAGATTGGATTTTACATTTTGTTTCATGATTAATGAACTTACTTTGCTTTTGTGTTTAAAATAGAGAAATCAATTCTAATTTAACGTTATTATATTATTAGAAGTGACTTCTTTCCTTTTTGTAATGGCCTCTTAAAATTAATAATTGTTTAATTTAGCATCATTACTTAGAACTTTTTACTACTATTTCACATTTGACATTGGGCAAATATAAAGGTTCTAATTTATCTTCCTACTCTAATATAATAAAAATATTTCTATGTTGAGAATATTTTTATAAAAATAATGAGGATTGAATTGACAATGGGACATCTATATTAACAGTTTTTAATTCTATGCATATTTTGTAAAATGCCATCATACTTTTAAATAACTTTGAGAACTTTAGTTCCAAACTTTTACATAAATGCAACTTATAATTCATTGTATTTGAATCATTTCCCAAAGCAGCAAGGATAGAATTCTGAGCTTGGGAGGTAATACAATTGTCTTAGAAATTCTATTCTGCATGAAGGCAGCACGATGATTGGTGTGTGTGGAGGTGATATTCTTCTATAGATATTGCAGAGTGACTTCTGAGTTGTGGATTCGTGATGGAGACAAATCTCAGGGCTTTCCAGGTAGAGATTTGTTTGAATGAATGTGTTTTTGCAGTGGAGAGAAGGGGACATTTTTATCCATTGACCTTTTGTTCATATTCCTCTTCAGATACTACATGCTTTATCGTCTCCATCCGGCAGACGCCTCTTTTCTCTTTGGTACCTCATTCGGCCTCTCAGTCAGTCCATATTGCATTTCCTTGCTCCTGTACAGATTTTTTTCGGTTGTTGGTTAAAATAGTAAATCCTTGTTTTACTGAGAGCTGTGCCCACAGAGGGACAGTGTTGGGGCTGGAGAGATTACTCAGCAATTGAAAGCACTTGCTGCTCTTGCAGAGGACCCACAGAATGGCTCCTAGCTGCCTGTAACTCCAGTGCCATGGGATTCAACACCCTCCTCTAGCCTCTGTGAGCAGCAGACATGCATGTGATAACAACCGACATATGCGGTCAGAACACCCATACACATCATAACAAAATAAACATCATATTTTTAAAAAGAGGGACAGTATCATAATCCCCTAGTGTTTATGTATTGTGGTATATTTACAGTCATCCTGTTCATGCATAGAGGAGATCTCTGTTGACTTGGTCCAATTGTCTCTCCTTATGGACAAGGAAAATTAGTTTTAAAAAGGCAAAAGTAGTTTCTGCTTCAGGTAGAAGTGGTTGTGTGGCTAAAGCCAGAACCAGAAATTAGCTCTTTTGATTTGTATTACTGTTTAATTTTCACTCTTCTTGGATCCTTGTTTTCACCCAATGGGCAAGTATTTATTGAACTTCTACTAAGCATCAGCACCCTGGTAAACTGTGATACTACAATGCTGAGCCTGTCTATAAACTTCATGTTATGTGGAAAAGATACTAACACTCCTATACTAACTATACTAAAATGAGTAAGGATAGAAACTTGAAACTATGGTTTGTAGGTGCTCACATTGTATTTATATATACTTTTAAATGCAATTAAATATTTACTGTATGTTCATTCTGTGCTGAGCCCCAAAGAAATGAGAACTTTATGGTCACAGCTCCTTCCTTCATTGTGTAGTCTAAAAGTGAGATAAGTTAAGACATAATAACCAGCATAGAACAAAATGTTGAAAGTCTGTGGTTCAAAGTACACAAAAATCACGTTTTTTGGAGAGGAATATCATCATGGCCATCCTGTAAGTGATGACATATGGCACAGCTCCTGAGCAGAAGCTCTTTCAAAAAGATTTAGAAATGAGTAAGACAGGCCTTCTGGATAGAAAGATGAGCCTCGGAAAGAACTATGATGAGATAGGCCCCACCTAGGACAGAATTCAGGTGCAAGAATCCAGGGTGACAAGGGTGCTGGTAGTTAAGAAGGCAGATTGCCTAAACTGGGACTGTACAAATAGTGAAACTTCAGGGATCTGTTTCCAGAGTTGAAAACAGACTGGAGCAAGACTTTTCAGGGACTATATCCAATTGTCTTGGTCAGAGCAGAACTAGGGGATTTAGGTCTCAAATATGTTGAACTTCCTAAAACCTTAAGTCAAAATTAGCTATTATTCTTGAAAAGAGGCCCTTCCTGCTTGAAGACTGAGATTCAGACAGGGCATAACATGAATTGCACTTACATTATTTATTGGTAATACTAGATGAAAGGAATAATTCGCCACAATATAATCATGATAGCTATTCACTAACCTTGTTTAGAATTTTTTTATACAGAATGAGAATTGTTTCAATAATTATCAGCCAGCTGCCTCCAATTTCCAAATTAATTAATATATTAGTGTGTGTTTGTATATTGGTTACGTATGTATAATTTGCCTATATGTCACATTTGGTGAAGTCTAATTTGATTAATGTTATTAAACAATAGTGTTTCCTGGCTACTTCGAAGATAAATGAAATCTTATTAATAAAATGTAAACTATTGTTATTTTAATATTGTTAAAAATTAAATGTCTTTGTCTTTTTCTCGCTAAGTATACTATAATGAAAATAGCAAAGCTTTACTTGATTGCTAAGAAATGGAATGGGTTCCTCAACTTGATAATGTAGAGATGGCAGATACAAATATTTTGTAACATGGGGTATGCCAGACTGGAAGAAGAATTACTGCAGATAAATCATTACACTGTTCTCTTGGTGGTGGTATGGGCCATCTGAACGTGACCTGCAGGGACACTCTTAGTTGAAGACCTTCTGTTGATAGAGATCCTCAGGGCGAAGACAACGTGTGTGATTATAACAAGTTTTCAGAATAGAGGGGATAGTAACTAGCAGCTGTCTGGGGGGTTATGATAACCAGTTAACACACTGGACTCTAGAGCAGGGCATCTCTGCTGCCATGGTGAAGAAGCTTTGCACCTGTTCCTTCTAATTAGCTTTAGCTTCAGATTTCCTCTAGAGAGGATGATTTGGGGCTGGCTTCTCACTAAGAAAAACAAACAAAAAATGAAGACACATTATTATGACCACTTTGAAAACCAGTTTGTGAAGATATCGCTTGAATTGTATACAATATAAAGTGTGAATCAAAGACTTGGTAAAGCAATGTGGAAAGAATTCAAACAGTTGCCTTTTTTCCTTCCTTAAACAGGCTCATGCACAATTAGTCCGAGAGGTTGACGTGGAGAAGGTGTCTGCTTTTGAGAATCCATATGTAGATGCAATAAAGAGCTTGTGGAATGATCCTGGAATCCAGGAGTGCTATGATAGACGACGAGAATATCAGTTATCTGACTCCACCAAATAGTGAGTATCTGCACTCCAGGCCCTGAGGCCCTGCCTGGTGCTTTTCATGGGAACGTGCTCTGTGATATTTGTTAACAATATAGTCTGTGCTGTGCATGTGACAACCAAACCTAGGTGGTGTAGATATTAAACTAATATTTAAGTGTCGATCTCGTAAGTGTCGGTTCAATCATAAGGTACCAAGGTCATATGGTGGAGAATATTTCTCTTTTCTGGAGACAAGCCTCATGTAGCCCAGGTTGGCTTTGAACTCCCAGTACTCATATCTTCATCTCTGGAGTACTGTCATTACAAGTATGCATCACTATGCCAATTAAGTATTCTAAGGCTCAGACTGCATGGTAGGCAAGGATTCTACCATTTGAGCTATACCCACAGTTCCAAGAGGATTTCTTTCATTATGTTTTACTTAAAAAAATAAAAGGAAGACCTAGTGATCTGATTTTTTTTTTTTTTATCACCCTGTTTTCTTTTTCAAATTGCAAGCCAGTGATCCACAAATCTATGAACCGTTGTGTCTTGGTCAGAATCTTTTTTTTTTTTTTTTTGGTCAACTTGACACAAGCCTGGGAACTTCAGCTGAGAAAATGCCTCCATCAGTTTGGCCTGTAGGTAAGCCTGTGAGGCATTTTCTTAATGAATGACTGATGTGGGAGGGCCTGGCCCACTGTGGGCAGTGCCGCCCCTGGGATGGTGGTTCTGGGTGCTCTAAGAAAGCAGGGTAAGCAAGCTTTGGAGAGCAAGCCAGTAAGCAGTGTTCCTCCATGGCCTTGCTGCACTTCTGCCCCCAAGTTCCTGCCCTGCTTGAATTTCCATTGTTCAGTGAGGGACTGTTACTGGATGTGTAAGATGAAATAACCCTTTCCCTCTCAAGTTACATTTGGCCATGGTCTTTATTATAGCAATAGAAAACAAATGAAGACACATTGTGACTTGAAATCTTGCAGTATTGTTTTTTAATAAAAGTTCTGATCTTAGCTTTGGGCGACAGAACACTTATATAGATTAGAAATTGCAAATAAAAATGTGTTGGATCATGACTTCCCAAAACATAAGACTCCCTAGTTTCTAATTCTCAGACCCTTATCTGCTTTCAAAGAACCATTATTGGTGGATGGGTTTTCTTTTGCAAGAAAACTGTAAGTTTTAATTTTGCATGCATTCCAGAATTATTGTGTGAGCTGTAAGTCAATCTCATGTGTCCTGGGAAAGATTTGCATCCAAGAGAGATCTGTTAATTCTCTGTCTTCAGATGTGTATAACAGGAAAGTTCAGCATGTGACTAATGTAGAATCATTGTATCTAGCGTTCTAGATAACTAAGATTTGGGGGGAAATGTTAGTTGTTGTTGTTTTGGATTTTTTAGTTATCTAGTCAGATTTCTGTCTACATTAATTATGTAAATCTGCCATTCCCCTCTTACTGTGGTTCTGGTTAGACACATGAAAGGGTGGGAAACATTCTACAGCCTTAAGCCAGTCCCTATTATAGAGTGACTCAGTGGCTAAGAGTAGGCAGAGCAAAAGGAGGGGCCTGAGTGGCTGATTGATGCCTTTCAGTAATGCTTTGAAGGCCCAGGGGTTATGCATTCTTTTTACAGTGAAGTTACATTTCTGCCTTTCCAGGCATTTGCATAAGATAAATTATGCTTCAGATCAGCCATAGAAATGTTGCCTGAATAAATACTGTCATATCATCTGGTGGTTTGAATCGTGTCATTCTAGACTGACAGCAGCATTCAGCTCTCCTGTTTAACATGCACTCCAGTGTGGGTAGTCATCTGGTGTGTGCTGTTACTGCCTGTCCTTCCTTCCTGACCTTCCTCCACGTCACCATTCAGGTTCTGGACCTTCCCACCTGCCCTGCCCCCTCCTCTTCCCACTTCTTCATTCCCTTGGTGTAAGTTTCTGTGAGTTGAGTGCATAGATAGAAAACCTGCATTCATCTCTGTCTATTCCAAATTCTGCCTCCTCTACCTTTGACCAGCTGTCTGTCTTTTACTTTCTGCCTCCTCTGTCCTTCTGTTTCCTTTGCCATTTCAGATTTCATCCGTCTCCCTGTGTTGCTGCTGTGTTTATCCACCCTCCCTGTTCTGTTCATTCTGTCTCCTCCTCCTGTTATTTACCCTCCACCCTCACTGTGATTCTCTGCTTCTCCCTCACTCCCGTCTGCCCCTCGTTTTGCTAACAAGATCCTGTTTCCAAGTAGTGCTCTGTGATTCCTCCCTTCCCTCCTCTCTCCACTCTCTCCCTCCCTTTTCTAGTACTGGAGATTGAACCTAGAACCTTCTGCATGTGCAGCAAGCACTCTACCACTGAGCCCAAGCCAACCTCTCTTTATGCTTATTTTATATATTATCTTTTCCTCTTCCTACCTCTTTTATTCTTTACTCATCATCTATAATTATGATTCTGCCTATAGAGAGGCCTTGCTATCAGGGAGTCAAACCTCCACTATCTGATACTTATGTATCCATCAGGGTCATGGCTATCCATAAAGAACCTCATTTGCCCCCTACCCTGGGGTAGACCACTGAAATGTTTCTTTTGCATGGAACTGTTGACTTCCATGGATATGCTCTTGAGACAGCCTCTATCATCTCTCATGATGTTCTCCGAGTGAGATTTGTAGATTTTGAGGCATTACTTAATGGTGAATTTGCATATTACTGTAGAGTTTGTTGTAGGCCGAGAGCTGTCCTAGGCTGTTTCTTCACCTCAGAAAGCCACCACCTTAGAATTCTGCCAGCATGAACTGAGTCCAGCAAAGAAATTGACCTACTGGTACTGATGTGGGGCCCCTGGCACAAGCTGATTTAAGTTTCCTAACTGATTGTTCTTTATGTGTTCCTACTTTTCTGTACTGGGGTTGGGGATAAGGTTGCATTTATATGAGTGCAAATACCCAGTTACTTTAGACGATTTTTTGCTGAAATAATACAGAAATTATAACATCTTGTAGACCCTTAGACATTTTATTATGTATATCTTTGTAAGAAAAAGATATTTTCCTGTGTAGTTAATAATGGCATATAAATTATACCTAAAGCCAATAATAAATTCATGTTCAGATTCCCTGGATTCTTCTAAAATTCGATTTAGATGTTAATTTTAGGAATACACGTTGCATCTGGTAGCTGTGTCTCTTAAGGCACTTCTACCCCAGTAGAGAGACCTGTTTTATATTTCATTGGCATGCTGAAAAGAGTGGCCTGGATTTCCTGATTGATTCTTGTACAATTTAGCTTGCTTCTTTCTCACAAGGATTTATTATACACCAGAAGTTAAGACTTAGATTCAAGGTGAGCAGTGTGGCTCGAATGCTTTTAAAGTGATGTTGTATTCTCACTCTGTTGGCTTTTCACTGAATCCTTTTATTTCAATTAGTAACCCTTGTTGATAAATAATCCCAGTAGGATTTGTGATATAGTAGTAGTACTAATAGTTGTTATTGTTATTGTTGAGGCAGGTTCTGGCTGGCCTGGTACTTCCTATATAGATCAGGCTGGTCTTCTGCCTGCCTCTGCCTCTTAGGATTAAAGACATGTGCTACCATGCCCAGCCTTACATTGGCCTTCTTCTCTGAGGTAGCTTTTTTATTCAACTGGTGCTTTTGGTTACCATGAAATACATTTCCTACTGTAAAACTGTGTTCTAATCTTTCATGTAAAATCAGTAATTTGCTGCATGTAGTCAATAAGATGGTAACTATATCATTTATCATCTAAACCAAGATACCTTGAGGAGGAATGAGTAGCTGCTATACTGAAGAGGCTTGAGGGTAGGCAAGATTGTGGCTACCAGCAGTGAAATGAAACCTAAGGGGGTTAGTTGGTTTCCTTCTTTCCACTTCTGTGGAGGTCTCTCTTTATTTAAGGAAAGTGTAACCAAATGATTCCTGCCAGCTGTTTAAGGAAGGTGTGTAGATCCCTGGCTTGTTCTCACGCCTTTCTGGGTATTGTAGGATTATTGTAGACAAGTGTGAGCAGCTGGGTGACCTGTGTGTTCTGGACACTTTATTTTATTTTTTTTTTTTTTAAGCCAGGTAGTCTTTCCAACAGAGATACCACATTTCCCTGTGTTGTCGTCTTTGGTTTATGTTTCTGCTGGACCTTGCCTCCTTTTCCTTCAGATGCATCTTTGCTTTTGTCTTTGTATTGACAGTTCTTCTGTTAAAAGTTTGTCAGTCTCAGATTTCTAACTATGTGAGAATCAGGATCTGTCATAAACATTTGCTTAGATGCTAGGACTTAACCACTTTCCCTAGAATCCTGCAGTTTGTGAGACTCCATACAAGCCGCCTGCCAAGAATACTGGAAGCAGAGGCCAAGCAGGACTCTTCTTTTTTCTATCTGATGGACTCATAGTCACCCTCGAAGACACAATTAGGAGTCACCCTTTCTGAGTGCCTGACCCAGTACCAAAGATAGTCACCGTGTCACCTGTCTTACTTTGTACATATTTCTGTGTGTTTCTCAGAATGCTCACCTCTAGTTTCAGTACCCAACAGTGACTGCTTATGTTTGACAATCACAACTGATTGCTCCATGAAAGTACAGATGGGTAATTCTTTCTTTTTTTTGTTTTCTGGGGTTTTTTTTTGTTTGTTTGGTTTTTTTTTGTTTGTTTGTTTGTTTTGTTTTCTTCGTATTTTTTTTTTCAAGACAGAGTTTCTCTGTGTAGTTTCGTTGCTTGTGCTGGATCTTGCTCTGTAGACCAGGCTGGCCTCGAGCTCACAGAGATCCGCCTGACCCTGCCTCCCAAGTGCTGGGATTAAAGGTGTGCACCACCACCGCCCAGCTGGTAATTCGTATTTTCAACGACTTTCATGCTAGACTCTTTCTCTTTTGTAGTTACTGATGGACTTGGAAATTTAAGGGCTGAAGACATATAATAAGCCTTTTTTTCCTTATTGTTTTTAAAGTTCTCAGAACTCAAAGGTTCTGATCAAAACAATAATAGCTCCTGTTTACTAGACACTTAGTCTGTTACACTCTGTGA